GACAGACAGAGAGAGAGAGAGAGAGAGAGAGAGAGAGAGAGAGAGAGAGAGAGAGAAGAGAGACATCATGAAAAAAGTCCAACCAACCAAAGATCGCGCGCGCGACCGTTCGAACTACAAAGCCGAAGCGCGGAGATGGAAACTCCGAGGGGGGGCCCGCAGATGTCGCCGTTGTAGCTTTTTCGGATTGCTTATCCCTCTCGCTGCAGCAGCAGTGTCTCACACCTCGCACGCGCGGCAGCTTCACACCCCAGAGTTCACCTCTGCCATCCCCGTCTTGCTGTGAGTCGAGGTTTGCTGTTGGCTGTAGGGTTATCTTTCGCACCATGGGTAACAGAGTGCTTAGTGGTTAGTGGCGGATGCGCAATCGAAACGCTGAAACACACTCACCACGACCCAGGACCGGTATGAAATGGTCCGCGGAGAGACACACAGCAGGCATCATGCTTCGCAGCTCAGCCCCTGTCCCGTCTCTCGACTGGAGAAGACATAGGCACAAAAGTAGGCAGCTGGAGAGGGTAAGGGGTTGCAAGAACCAACCTTTGCAGGACAGCAGCAGCACGCGGTTTGGGACGCACATGAACCAGGCATTCCGCAGGTAACACGAGATGCCGCACCACACCTCCTCGACCGATTTCAAAGCTCAAAGCTCGACTGCTCCACAGCAAAAACAGTCGTGGCAGCACCGAAAATGGCGGCGTTGAAACTGTCTCGTCGAGAGCTTTCCGAAAACGCATCGTTTCATTCGTGCATCCTCTTCGTCGTGGAGTAGTCGAGCTTTGAAATCGTTCCAGGGGGTGTGGTATCTTGCGTCACCCGCTGCTGTACAGCAGGTTTAGCCTACAAGCATAAGTCGGCCCAGCCCCCAGGTGTTCTTCTCTGCACCTGCTAGGGAATAGCAGCGGCAGGAGTATGGCGGAAACATTCATGATTCGATCTGCTTGCTTGCGGAATTAGCTCGCGTTCTGTAGTTTTCCTACAACATGTATTGATGGGGGTGCCACACTCTTTTTTCTTTTTTTCTCTTTCTTTTTTCTCCCATCGTTGGGCTCTGTCATCTGCCCCTCTGGCCCCTTTCCTCCACTTCTACCAGCTAGACGACCCAACCGGGTTCACATAGGAGGGGGGGGTTGGACCCCCTACTGCGGTTCCTGCCTGAGATATTTTCATCGCGAGAAGGGTATAGCAATCCCTTCCCTCACCACTTATGAAGTCGATCAAGTTTACTAACAACGCAGCGCGTCGCTTCCAGCGGAGGCCAGGATTTCATTGGCGAGAAAAAACTCACTCTGTCGGGACTCAAACCCATCACCTGGCCCCTAGCAGGCTGCGAGGCTACCCACTAGACCACCGGGGCGACCGGTGATTCTGTCCTCTGCTGGTTGATTGGTTGTATGCATGCAACATGTACACGTGTTTACTCAGCAGCGGCAAAGTTGAACCTTTGAGCGGCTGGCCGGTGTAGTACAATCAACACCCGGTTTTGTCAGAGAGCAGCCCTGCGCCTCTGGGGTGGGGTAGCCTGAGCTGCCCCATCCAAGTTTGTTCGCCTGGGCTGCTGGGCAATGGGAAGGAACAACACAGTGTTGCCTTCAAGTTCCCTCTCAAGCATCTCGAAAGCTACTGCAGTTGTATGTAGCCTTGCACACCCCTCAGTACCAAACACCCACCACAGCAGAGGTGCCAAACGTCCAAATCGGCCGACATCACCATCCACGTGCTTGACACTTCCTACGTGCATGGCAACTTAATTGGTACCGAGACAGGAGCAACTCCAAGCCCGAGAGGAGCCGTATCCCTTCCCTTGCCTCAACAACACGGAAAAACACCCCCGGCATGGCTCTCAGCCCTGCGGACGAGTACCTTCTGGAGAAGGAGGCTAGAGCTAGAGAAGATGAGGACAAGCGGAAGCGTTCGAGGCCTAACGTGAGTGGTCATCTGTTGGAAGAGGCACGCGGGGCGGGCGGGCGGGGGGTACTACTGCAGTAGCACATACATGTAGCCGTGATGCCGTGGTCGTTTGACCGTGTACCGCGCATCCCTACGAAGCCGGGACGGAGCACGCAGGGTTTTCACCGGACCAGGCTACAAGCAGCACAGAACCAGGCGCGGGGGGAGGACAGAACAGAAGCTTTTGCAGTTTTTTTTCAAGTCAGGAAACATGTTGATACAGCATACAATCGGGGAAGTTGGGTTAGGGCTAGGTAATCGGGTCTGCGTACCCCCTCCCTGTTCTATTTCCACATATTTATACTTACGCTTGCTTTCCCGCGAAGGCAGTCCCCGCCTGAGGCAAGCAGTACATTCTTTCCCTGCGTATCTCGAGGACGCGCGGCCAATGTTTTTGACAACGAAGGCGTGCAAAAACATGAGGACGCCCGCCCCCGCCGGGAGTGCATCATCCATGCGTTGATTGAAGCCAGGTTTACGTGGATAGCTGGGTATGGGCAGGTTTTGGAGGAGGCAAGCAGCAAAAAATGTAGTCTGCGTCTCTCGAGGACGCGTGGTCGATGGTCTTGACAACGGAGGCATGCGAACCATGAGTACGCCCGCCCCCGCCGGGGGTTCATCGTCGATGACCGACGATTGGTTCCTCGCTAGGTCAATACAACCTGTTTTCCTTGTGCGGTAGGGACGCGATCTCGAGCATCATGCCTCTTCAGCAACGGTCTGTGGCCCTGCATCGTTCTCCTGCTGCTAACGAATGTCGCAATCTCACTCAGTTCGATCTAACAAGGCGCTCTTGAACTCCCGACCCACACGGAAAACAATAACAAGTGGGATGTGTTTGGGCTTTTTGGGACGCAATAATGTGATAGGTAGGGTGTGCTTCGTTCCGTGATGGTGGGTGTGCTTTGTTCTCGTTTGGGTATCCATTAAGTTTCAGTTCTAGGGGCGCGATGTTACCAATGTAGCTTTGGGTAGGTTTCGGAGGAGGCAATCAGCAAATCAGTGCGCCGGCGGTGCGTCGTCGATTTTTCGATCGGAATCCTCACAAGGTTGACGACATCGGTATTTATTGGCCATTTTCGCGTGTGTGTGCAGGTTTCGGAGGAGACTGCGGGGTCGCTCGTGACGCGGCTCTTCGGCAAGGAGGTCTCCTCCGTCACACGCCTCGACAGCTACGATGACGCCAACTTCAAGATCGTGGAGGCGGGCAGGGGCGAGACGTTCACCCTGAAGGTGCGGCTCGTTTTCGGTATTTTGTCGCCAGGCCATCGCGTGGACCTCATTGTGGGCCCTCGCCAGTTGCGCCAGTTGCTCATCGAATAAACTGCTTATTTATGTAGTCGAACTTATACTACGGGTTGAGAGGGGCAGGAGCGAGCCCAAAAATACTGGAATCCGGCTCTCACTTCAACTTATACCGTGACGTTCGTTGGGTGTATTTTCTCATGGTCGGGATACACCGTTGTTGCGATGTTCAGTCCGTAATCTCACTTATATCGTGTAACCATAAACTTTAGCCGCTTTGCGTCATTATTCCCGAGAAAAGCTCTCCACCCCCCCGAAGCCTATCTAGGTACGCCTCGGGGGGCATTCCAATCGAGCGCTTGTTTTGGCACAATGTTTTGCGTTTTTTATCGACCAAAGGATGCGGCGTTGTGTTGATGATGTTTCGCAATATTACTTCGACTAACTAGATCCAAACCGGCAAGTCTCGCGCTCATGTCTGTTGTTGGGGTTGACGTCGATGGTCTGCTTTCGTTTGGGCCAACTTCCTCCCCCTGGAACCCGACAGCAAACCAAAAGGTTTACGCCAATGCATGACCATACTCACAGTGAGTATCTCCCCCCCACACGCACTCAAACATTCCTCGTCGCCCCCGTAGACCAGATCC